CCCAAATTCTTTATGTTGCTTTTATTGGGTAATTAATGCATGTTCACCACAGGCAGGTGAGAAGTTCCATGTAAATATAAAGAATAATTACTCATTTCATAAGGAGAACACATGGAACCTTTTCTACTTTCACAGACATTTTTCTTTGCATATGTATTTTTAATTAAATAGGTTTCTGCTTTATAGAGCATGTCGCAATCTGCTTTTGTTCATTCAGCAATACAATTTCCATGATAACGTCTATTTCAATAACATGAAATATACAAACTGTACAATATATTACAGTACGAGTTCACCATATTTAGTAATTTCCAACCACTGCCATTTAGTCTCCGCCTGGCTTCTTCCTGTGAACTGTTTTCCTTGCTGCCACCCTTCCTGGCGCTGTGACTTGAACTTCCCAGCTGAGAGAGGCTCTTTCCATTCTGTGTTTTCATAGCAGCCCCGGCGGCCTCTGTGGTGCTCGTGTTTATACTGTGCTGTAGGAGTCCCAGGTCCCATGGGTTTATGAGGTTACACTGACCCAAAATGATATTAAAATATTTAACAACCTGTATGACGGTTTAAGTCAATATATGGATCAAGAATAAGACTTGAACAATGCATGTTATTTTTATTCTCTAAATAAGTTTAGGGTTTGCCTGTTATAAAACAAATCACCGACAAGTATAAGTTGTAGGAAAAACTATCAATCATTTTTATTTTAAAATAATTCAAGTGTTTTTAGAAATGACCGATGCAGTCTTATATCTGCTACTGTTAGCCAAGTGTAAGTTTTTTGAGCCATGATTTGGCATTGGAAACTGTCTCAAACTCTTCCACTGATTTTCCCATTTAATTTATGGTTATTAGTTTACTTATAGTCTCAATAATCAGAAACTGTACCTTAACGTTAATGACAATATTGATCCCGATACAGAATCCTTTATTAGTATCTTAGTTACGTTTCTTGTTGCTGAGTCAAAATAGCAGACACCCAGAGTTAAAGAAGGAAAGGTTTATTTGCCTTGCAGTTTGGAGAGGTTTCAGTCCATCGCTGGCTGGGCCCAAGGCACGTGGCCTGGCAGGGAAGAAACAGTCATGACAGATAAAGAGTAGAAGCAGCACAGGACCCAGACTGTGTCTTTCCGCTCCTTTTATCTTATCCGTGCTCCTTGGGGCAGGGGGCGCTCACACACTTGATTCTGGTGACCTCAGGCCTAGCGTTGTACCCAGAGTCAATTCCAGCCTCACACGCTGTAGGTCCAGCCGCCTCTGAAAAAGCCCCACCTGTGACCGTGTGAGGCTTTGGGGGACCTCTAGACACAGCCACAATTAGCTTGTGCTGAACGAACTAAACAAAAATTAAATTTGGACTGCATAACCACGACAGATATTTGCTGTCTCTAGTACCATCTAATGTGCAAGATAACGCTTTGGTAATGGCACAGTGAATAAGGATACACGAATAGATGTATGTGTGAAAGGGACAGAGACCAAGACACAAGAGAAAAATAAAGGGAAAAGTGGAGCTCGTGGGCGCTGATGGTGAGCTGGCCAGGTTTGAATCTTGGCTCTGCCGTCTTCCTCCGTGTGCCAGTGTTTTGCTGTCCGGGACACGGCAGATGATAACACGGTATCCAAACAGGTGATGTTCTCCTGTAACACTGGTGAGCGTTGAAGATCCACAGGGTTAGCTCTTTTTTAGCAGTAAAACCGATAATATTCCGCTGGTGTTGGCTCGGTATTCAATGAGCTAGTGAACCTCAGAGCATTAAACAGGGGTTCCCCACCCAGGGCCTCTCTTTAGCCTCCAGTCGCTGGACCTCTGTGGTCTGTTCTGTGTGGAATGCCTGCGGGAACCTGTGGCCTCTTCCACTGTTCCTGTAGAGCCCCTAGTTGCCTTAGGAAGCGGTAGGAAATGCGGGCAGGGTGCAGGAGTCTGCAGTGGGGTAGGTCAGAGGGGCCTCGCCCATGCTGAGGCTCTTTCCGTGTTCTGTGGGAACGTGTAAGACTAGTGCCCAGATGCTGGTGGGTGCCAGTGACAGAGGGAAAGTATAACTCCCGACCTGTTAGCCGTCAAATGTGCTGAGTGTTTGCGGTCTCACAGTGGAGGAATGAAGTCGTGAACCGAAGGAGAAAATTATTGGAAAAAGAAGAATAGCTCCTGCATTTTGGCCACCGCAGCGCTTTGTCAGGGGTCATTTATACAGCAAAGTCACAATGTGGGTACAATGTAGGTCAAACTACAGTCCACCTACAGCGTTGCAAGTATAATCGCTCAGCTAATATTGATCCAGCAGGGAAATGAGTCACGGAGGAAGGGTACTGGAAAGATCAAATTGTTCTTAAAGGGAGGGGAGCGTGGGTCCAGGTGCTGGTCAGCCGCCCATGTCTGATGCCTGTCTGGGCCCCTGGACCAGGTAGTGCTCCTGCTGTGTAATCCCCAGTTGCTCTTTTTCTCACAGGCCTGGCTATTGCTTCTGCATCCCGAGGCCTGGCTATCTTCGGATTGCACCAGCCACAATGCTGATGCATTTGTTCTTTTGTGCTGACTTCCTTGAGGGCCCAGTCCCACTTTGACTGGGTAGTAATATCTAACTTTGCAGTCTGTAATACCAAGGCGGCCTCTCTGCAGGCTCCAGTGGAGGTCTGCTGCGTGTGTGTGTGTGTGTGTGTGTGTGTGTGTGTGTGTGTGTTGGGACCTGTGTACACTACAGATGTCCTGGTGTAACGACTGACCTGTTTAACAACTGTGTGGCTTTAGGGCCAAGGCCCACTCAGACTTTAGACCCATCTTTTTCTTGGTGCAGCTCTGTACGTCTTACTCAGAGAGGCTCAGTGTCTTTTTTTTGTCCAGGACACCTTGTTTTACAATTTGTAAGTTTAGCTGATTATTCTGTATAGTACAGCGCTGTAGTTTTATGTTCTGTTACTCATTGCTGTACTACATGTAAAAGTTATGCAGATAAGAGCTAAGTCATCAAATTGGGGTTTCCTCTGGCCATTTCTTTATTCTGAATATTGTAACGCATTCATTCAGCGACAGAGTCATTTAACAACCTAGCCCAAGAATACAACTCTTGATTAGGCTCCAAATGGTGCCGAAGAAGGTTTCCGAGGGAGGAGACTGAAGCTCTTTTTGTATGGTGTGTTACTGGGTGGCCTGCTTCTACGGGAGGCTGCCAAGTAAACATGACGGGGTTCTGGCTTGCTCGCCTCTCCTTCCAGAGTTGGATTCCAGGTTCTTCTCATCTCGAACGAAAAACTGAACAAAACGAGGGAAAAGTGCAGCCAAATTTATTCTTGAAAGTAGAAGTGAAGAGTAGGGGAGCAACTGGCTCTACAGAGTGAACTTGGGCCGCATAAATAGAACAGAATACAGGTTAAGGGCAGGAGCTGCTTTGTCCTGTGTCCCTGTCGTGGTCTCTGACTGTCAGTGTTATGCATATCTTACACCTTGTTTTACTTTACACGTTAGACATCTGTGAACAACAGGATAGATATTTATTATTCATGTCACCTTCCATCCTGTACACTTACTTCCTTTAGGAAAGATTATTTTTGGCAGGAAGAGGTATGTTATAGGTGTTCACCTCATTTACTAACAATCAAACCTAAATAAGCGGCCGGCTCAGGGCTGACATTCAGCCACACTGAGATAGAAGATTGGGGCATCACAAAAGCTGGCTGGGAAAATAGATGTGACCCGCTGACTACAAGATCCTGGACACACGCGCAAAACAGTCCCTGACGCCCGTGTGCGGGCTTCGCTGAGAACTCCAGCAGGCTTCGGTAGGCGACCTAGACCTGAGTCAGCCTGAGGTGGGGGAATCGCAGCCCACTCTCAGGACCCGGGTGTAGACGTCCTTGAGTGTTTCCTAGAGATTTGGCTGGCGTAAAAGAAAGGCAGCCCTGAGGGGCCGGTGCTTTCCGCAAGGGCCCATGCTTGTTTCCCGGACCCCGCTTGTTCTTGTATCTTTGGTCTGACCCCTTTTTCTACTTACTGTCGAGTATCTGAAGCTCCATTATGAATTTAAATAATGTTTTGAGAGCCTTTAAAATTTTTGCTTTTCTTTTGATCCCCTTCCCATTTGAGGGATCAGGAGATGGAGGGATGGGAGGGAGAGAGGATGAAAGAGGAATTAAGCGCAGTAATGTACAAGGAGTATAAACATTGTGCGCTGCAAACGTACTGATAAAAATAAATGATTTAAAACTTTCGCTTAGGTGTTTTCCTTCTATTTAAGCCTTTGCTAGCCTCTGTCCTTTTATGGAAAGCTTTCTTGCTTGCGACAAATCATTTGAGTCAAAGCAGTAGAAATCTTTTGTTTCGGTTTCAGATCTTATTAGGGTTTCTTCCAGCAAATGCGATAGCTTTATTCTTTCTGCATTGAATAGCTTTGATGGTGAAGACATCTTGCTGGTTAGACATTTTTCTTCTAAGGATAAAGGTATCTTGAAATTCCTGACTTGGAATTTCCAGGAAATGATTCTTGTGATAAAGTATATCTTCTTATTTAACACTGGTAAGCTTTTTCCATTATTTTTATTTTTTAAAACTAGCTTTTGATGGCCGGCGATTTGGCTCAGTGTTTCCTCTGTCTGCCTCGCAAGTGCAAGGGCCTGAGTCCGACCCCCGCAAAAAACAAAACAAGCAAAACAAAACAAAACTAGCTTTTGAGTTGTTCTTGTTCATTTAAAAGTTTCTAATATGGCGAAAAATGTGAAAGTTAATTTTCTCTGTGTAAATCAGTCGGCAAAATATTTCCCCAGTGAGTCATAAAGCTTTGTCAAACTAAGATATATTTAATCAGAATAGTGCTAAATACAGAGTAAATGTTTTTTTCTGAATTAATTATATTTCTATAAAAACATTAGATGCTTTGATTGTAGTTAATTTGGAGTTCATTTATTGAATACTCCGTAATGTCACACACTTAAAAGTTTATAACTTTAGTATGCTTTAAGGAATGAAATAGTATTTCTTTTTTCCCTTTTCTTTCTTCTTTTGCATTCAGATATGATGAACTTTAAAAAGAGAATAATCCTACCAACATTTTTGAAGAACTGCCCTGTCCTCCGAGATGAAGCCTTTGATAAAATCTTTCTGTAGTAATTGGAAAGATATGTGAATAAATAAGGAGGCAGAAGGATAAAGGGAGGCTGGAGCTGATCACCGCGTTACATCATGTGTTGAAATACCACACTGAACTCCATTAATATATATAATGAATACATGTTAATAAAAATAAAATCGTTTAAATATCCATATATATTCAGATGGAGCAAGAAAAACAATATGAAATTGCTGTTGTGACTATAAAAGTATTCATATTCTTTAAAATAGGAAATTTTTGTTATGCATATTAAAAGTTATATCTAAAAATATTTTATCAAGTGAAACATTTGATAAGTACATCTTCCTGTAGTTTGGTGAAGAGTAGCATTTTGAGGTATCATTTTGGAGGTCTGCTTAATACATAGTAGACTCTGGGTATGAAATAATAGTAAAATCCTAGTATTAAAAAACTAGATTTTTTAAGTCTCAGAAAATATTTTGTATTATTCATTTCTCTTCTAGGTAGAAATTTTTTGTGACTTCAGAACTTCTAAATCTTTAGGAAATTATTGATTTTTATTAATTCTCCAGTGTGTAGCAAATTCTATTATACATAAATTTGCCCTGGGAAAATGTATATTTATATCTTAACTTGAAAATATAAATTATGTAGTATAAAGAAAATTGATTTATGATCATTGCTAACATATTGAACAGACTTTCCACTGTTAAAAAACAAGTTGAGTTACATTTTACAGATAATATTTAATCATTTCACATGTGCAGTTCAGTGAACTGCCATCGCGTGTTGTCTGGAGCGCTACCACTCGCTGAGCAGATGCTCACGCCATGCGGTTACCGCCAACTCCTGCTCACACATCGCTTCCCAGACCTGCCTGCTCGGGACGGTTCACCTAACATAAGACAGCACCGTTTGTGAGTCAGCAGCTGATGTAGCAGTTGGTTCCTTTTTGTTACTGACTTGTATTCTGAATGGGAAAACCACATACTGCCTGTGCATTTGCCCACTGATGACCACGTAGGGTGTTTCCAGATTTTATTATGGATGACGCTGCTGTGAATAATTCCCGTGTGAGTGAGTTAGTATCAGCATTCTAATAAGATCTTTGTGTTCTTCAGCATATTTAATCTTTGCATCTCCCCTCTAGTTAAGCAGCATTATTGTCTCTGTTTACAAACGAGGCCACTGTAGAACTATGTTAATTCAAAGGGCTAGAAGGTGTTGGACTCAGGATTCACACCAGGAATTTGACTCTGGATGGCCTGTTTTAAATTACTTCTATAATTAGTATAATGCCTATTTTATATTAATATGGTTTTATTATACTAATGGCGATAGTTAAATGATGATTCGTATTCACTTTTAAATCAGAATTTATGTAAATATTGTTTTATCATTGGATTTATTATAACTAGGTTTTTATGAGAAGAATAAAGATTGCAAGTACTTTGCCTTATTCATTCTGGTTTGTCTAGCATCTGTCAAAGAATGTGTCACCTGCAAAGACAACCAATAAATGTTTATTGAGTTAAAGTAGCCAAAAGTTTAAAGCAGCACTTTAATTTCTCTTACTTTAGGGATAGTTCTTTCCATCCTTATTATTTATCCCTTCTGTATATACTCTCTTTTGAAGCTTTTAATGTAGTTTCTATTTCTAGTGCATTTCTGATTAAATACCCTGAGAAGATTACATATGTTTTAAGATACTACAGTTGGCAAATGTCTGTTGACCATAGCTCAAGAATTGGGAATCTGAGGTCAGGCTAACATCATGGCAAGAAATACTTCACGGGCAAAGCGCCTTCAGTGTGTCACATCTGGGCCCATGATCTTGGTTATCGTTGGTGCCACTAACTTTAATGGTTTAAATGTATGGTGTCCACTAAATTGCCCTGTTTTAGAAGACTCTTCCTTATTCTAAGGAGCCAGTAACTCCTGGGTTGATAGTTTGCGAGGGGGTGACTTTCCTATTCCCATGGGTTTTAGCGTTCATTGTTCTATGGTTTAGATTTAAAATGTCCCTCAAAGCTCATGTGTTCGGAGGTGGAGGTTTGTGGTGGTGATTGCATCATGGGGGCTCTAACTTTGTCGGTGGATCGATCTTTTGATGGATTTGTGATTTGAGAACATTGTTGGGAGGTGATGGAGACGTAGGAGGCAGGGTCTCCTGAATGAAGAGGTCGTTGGGGCATGACCTGGAGGACTGTATCTTGTCTCCAGCTTCTTCTCTGGCCTTTCCCTTTCTTTTGAAGGATAATTAGGTCACAGGGGCTCTAACTTGGTCAGTGGGTAATCCACAGATACATCATAACTTAGTGGCATTACTGGGAGATGACCAGAAATCAGTAGCTGTGGCCTGGTTGAAGACAGTGGGTTGTGGAGGTGTGGCCTTGGGGATGATTTTCTGTCCCTGGTCCCTTCCTCTGTGGATGTCTCATCCTCTCTTGTCTTGATTACCATGAGGTAAGGTGCTCTACTTTTGGCCTCAAAACAGGTTCATAACAATGGAGCTGGTCATATTAGTTGACTGAAACCATAGGCTTATTATAGAATTTCTAATATATACAGGCTCATGAGTTTTTCTCCCATAGTAAACTATTTGGAGCCACTTTCAGAGTTCAAAAGCTCTCAGAAACAAAGCATTAACCGAAAGCAAATTAATAAGTAACAGCTGATGGTTAAGACGTATCATAAATGCTCAGGTGTCTATTTGATAGGTTGCTAACAGGAAGTTACTGAGGTTTGCTAATTAACTTTTAAAAATAAAAATCATTCCATATGCCTATTGAAAGTTATGTTTCCTTTTAAAATTTAAAACTTAAAAAGATAACATTGGGCCAGGGATTTAGCTCAGTGGTTCTGCTGCCTGCCTTTCAAACTCAAGGACCTGAGTTCGATCCCTGGTACCAAAAACAAAAACAAATAAAAAGATAACATTTAATGTTATCTTTAAGTGTTAGGTGTTATTAAATACTAAGGTCATTCTAATGATATTCTGTGTATCTTTTATGACTACTTACTAGTATTGCAATTTTATACAACATCCTACATGACTGTAAATGTTATATTTCCCTTTACACAAAATAACACTGTCTAGATCAAAGAAGACCAACTTATACCAAAACATGGAGATTTGATATTCACTGTGTATTAGTCAGCTTTCACATTGCTGAGACATACTGTCCAATACTCATAACGTAAAGAAGGAGGACTTTAATTTGGCTCAAAGTTTCAGGGAGTTTTTTCATGGTTCTGTTGTTCAAAGGCAGAAACATCATGCAGACATATGTAGCAGAACAAAGATGCTTTGTTCGTGTTGGCTGGGAAGCAGAGCAGGTGAACAGTGTGAGGGAGGAAGGGACCAGGAGTCATATATAATACATGAAGTTACACCTCTGTGATCCACCTAGACACACAGAAATGTCCTCTACTGATGCCCTGGGCTTACATGCTTAAGCCAGTTGATTTGACATGACTAAGATTAGCAATCCCACCATTTGTCAACTTGACATCCAAACATATCTTCCTAAAACTGATGCTTAATCTCAAAATAAAGACAGTAACAAGTTATAATTCCACCTAATGTGACACAACTGCATATAAAATGAAATAATCCATTTCCAAATCTCAGCAGTCCCGGCTTTGCTAAAAAAGTCCAAGTCAGAGTCTCCTCTGAGACTCAAGGCAAACTCTTAGCTGTGAACCCCCGTGGGAAAAAACAAAACAAAACACATTATGCAATCCCAAGGCACAGTGGCACAGGACAAACATTCCCATTCCAAAAGGAAGTAATAGGTAGAAAGAATCAGATCAGATTAAGATTAATACCCAGCAGAGTAAATAATAAAACTTTAGTTCCATGTTGGCACCCAGGGCACACACTAGTAAAATGTGACTTCCAAAGGGCTAAGATGCCCCCGTTCCCATGGCCTTGCCAGCTGCAGCCCACATGGCCTCTTTCCTGGGCTTGTTCTGTTCGCCACCTGCAGCTTTCCTTGGTAGATAGTCCATGTTCCTGGCATCACCAGCTTCCTTGACTCTGTACTTCACCTTTGGATTTATTCCTACGGCTTCACGTACTGCCCTCTTAGAGGCTCTTCCCAGGCTTTCCTCCCTGACTACACAATGATTGCATTCTGCATGCTGGTAAACCAGCATCGTATGCACAACATCAAGATCTGCTATCAGCAGAAGCAGTACCTGGACCTCCTTGGACTACACCTGTATTGACCTCTCTATGCCTGGCTGGCTGAGCACAGTGAAACAAATCCTGGGGAACCAACTTCCTCACAAACTTTTCTTGAGTACGGGGCCCAGGGGCTCTTTACTGAAATCAGAAGTTCATACTGTCACATCTTTGAGCTGTGATGAGTGAGGTCTTGCTCATATCCGAGATACCCTCAAGGTATCTTCTTGCCCCTGTAGAATGTACCTGCTTATTTATTTATGACGTTAACCTCATCAGCAAGACATCTGTTTGGCTCAGTATTTACACATGATTCCTTCGGGGCCAGTATTATGGTTTAGATCTAAAACGTTCTCCAAAATTAGCGTGTGTGAAAGGTACTTGGATCATGGGGGATTCATCCACTGGTAAATGTAGTAGCTAAATATCCTCTTAGGAGGCGGATAACTGGAGGTATTACCTGGAAGGGTCTATTTTTATCGCCCACTCATCCCATCTCTCTCTGGTTCATGGCTGAGCACCATCATACCTTTCTGCCATCTTCTGTCCACCTTGGAGCATATTGACAGTGAACTGAATCTATGAATCAGAATAAACCTCTTCAAGTTGTAAATGTTAGGTACAGCAGTACCTTGGTTCATGAGCCTAATTCGTTCCATGATTCTGGAGAAGAAGGCCACATTCATGTTCGTGTGGGGAAGATGGCCTTGGTCACATTCACCACCTGGTGGGGATTTTGTGAAGGGAAGCAAAAGTTTGCTGAACACTTCTGTTCACAAACTGAATTATCTGAGAATAAAAGCATCTGTGAACTGAGGTATTACTGTACTTTGTCCCAGTGATGAGAGATTTACTGAGACAGCCAGAGTTTAAGTTTTTCAGATTTTTCTGCTCTGCCTTTCCCCTCCAGTTATAACTGTAAATCTGCTAAAAGTAGTGAGCAGTGACCTCAGCCTGAATATTTGGTGTCTTTGAGTTTGTCTTCTAGATCATTTACTCTACTGCCTAGTCCTAGTGTTCTACAAAGACTCAGGACAAGGACAAAATGTAGGCACATTTCTTTGCCAGAGTGTAACACAGAGGGACGTTAGTCCGGTGGCCAGTAGAGTCTTTGTTC